TAATTATTAAAGTTAACAATATAACATATATACTTTTTTATGTTGTGTAATTTTTTATTTACAATCTGTTCATCAATGTGAACATTGAGTGAAATTAAGATCGCGGTTGACATTAGGTAGGTAATCTTTCCCAGTGGATAGTTACCATTATGATGATTTTTTTATTTTAATTTATGGTTTACTATCGTCTTGTAGGTTAACTTCAGTAGTATATTTATGCTCTGCGATTCCACTATTTACTTTGACTGTGAATCTGCTGTTATCCTTAACACTGTCATTGTCCATCGACTTGGCTGAAGGTCCATATGCTGAACCTCATTCATTTCACTGTTCATCTGTGATGAACGATGGCCCTATTGCTGCAAGCACCGAGAGGGCTCACAAAGGACCTGGCTTGACCAGGATTTGAATCTATGACCACTGGCACGTGGGTAGGGCGACTTAATCATTCGGCTATTAGTGCGGGGCGATATATATATCATTAAATAATGTTATATATCATATTTAGGAAATACTTCAAAATATTGATGAATTTTATCGTTATGTAATTCAGGAATAAGCCAATTTATTTTCAATCTTTCAGCTATAGGAAAAATATAATATTTAATTGGTTTGTTTGTTTACTCAAAGAGAACGGAGAATTGTAATAAAGTAAAGTCATGGTTAGTTACAAAAATAGAATTTGATCATATGTATAGTTAAAATCTGTAGTATTTTTCTTAGCTATGAAATATTGAGTTAGTGCATAATTATCAAGCGTTTTTTAAACAATATTTGTCATTAAAAAAGAAACATTAAAATTGTAAAATAACATTTTTAAATGATTATCCCGGAGTCTAGTCACCATCTACTTCAATACTTGCTTCCCATTTACAAAGAATTAAACAAAAACAGCAATTTTTATTAACAAAAAATCGCGTACAAAAATACCTGATATTTATACAACAATCCAATAAATTAAAAAAATATGTGATAAACTCAAAAAGGATTGAATTTTTGGCATTTAAAATAAATTAAATTAATAAATCATAAATGAAAAAACAAAAACGATTAGCTTTGTTAAAATTTTGCTGGCATTTCTTCGTAAATATAATATGAACAGGTATGAAGTTTGAGTAAATACGTTTAACATTATAATTAAATAATAAAGAACATACAACGGTTATTTGCAGATCAGTATAGGAATGAATAATTTATTCTCGAACCGATTTTTCAGCTATCTTGAAGATGGATGGTCGTTGAATTGTGAAAAATCTAGCCGGAATGCACGATTAATGGAACTTGAAAAGATGTATGTGTGAAGTAGTAGGGCAATAAAATGAATATTAAACGATATGTGGCTTGGTGTTATCCCCACAGAATGGGGTGAATTAATATTATATACAGACTATGTTTCAAAATATACGTATTCTGCATTTGGTATAACATATTAATGAAACTAAATTTGAAGGCAACATGTCTGTGCAGGTTGTAAATATAATATTTAATTATATAAAGTAAATACTAGAATCTTCAATAAATTTGATTTATAATATTATAGATATAATTAATAAAATATTAATATATGTTTAGTTGACATTTTTACTTATAGACATAAGTCAATATTGTAAGGATTTATTGAACCAGATGGTGCGTAAGAAAATAGAAAGAAAGAAGTCAGCGAAAAGTAATATTAAATTTGTAAATTTACGTCCCTTTATTGTATTTCACTTTGGTCTATAATCCTATCAGGTTTGGTAATATTGATGATGTTAAAACTAACTGATACATTGTCCTTCGAGATGATTGACATTAATCGATCCTACACGACTGGCAAATCCATTTGCAAATGCCCATTGAACATTACTAAATTGTTACTTATTAATATGATGATTTAATATCTATAAATTCCTTCAATTATTGATTTGACATTTTTTAAATTAATATTAATTAAATGGAAATGTATCCGAATGTTATTCAAATAAATTTTGCCTAAAGAAAACTTTAGTACATAAAAACGTATATTAAAACAAATATTAAATTTATGAAATATATTTTAGTTTAAGTTGTTATATTAATACTAAGTTAACTTGTTTGAAGAACTGCTCCAATTTTGTAATTTTTCAGCAGTTTTTGATAATCCTATAATTATTTTATGAATTATAAGTGCAAGTAATAAAGTTTTTCTTTTGTTCAGGCAATTACTGAATAAAGCTTCTTGCCGTACGAACTTTCTCGGGGATGGGGTGCTTCGATTAATATTCCGATGGAGAGATGTTCGACAGTGAATTTAGTTAGATTCAGAATGATTTGCATGCGTTTACCTCCTAATTGTAATTCAGCGGCGGCCTGTGCTGTGTCTCCCTCGGCCCTCCTCACGATGCATTGATACATTCCTCTGTCCTCCCTTCCCACGTTGTTGACGACGAGCGCCTCGCTCGTCCCTCGTCCTGTACTTGGCAGTTGCCTTCCATCCTTGTACCAAGTGACTAAATAAGGACCTCCGTTTTGAGCAGAAACGACGCATTTGAATTCAGCACTGCCGCCCATGTGAACGCTTAACACGGGAGGTGAGATTTCCACGTGCAGAGAAGTCGAGACCAGAAGTCTCAACTCAGCACTCGCCTCACCGCCTGCATTCGACGCTGTGCAGCGGTACACGCCTCCATCTTCGGCAGTTACGGCTTCGATTGCCAAGACTGGGCCCAATTGTCGAATTCTTGGACCCGGAATTACCAAGGTCGGCTCCAGCGAAGTGTGTGAATACCACCTGCACAAAATCATATATTTTAGAAAATTGTATACCTAAAGTTTCTGGTTGACTGAAAACAACAAGAATATGCACAATCGGAAATTGTTATAATGCACATGAAGTTTATTTTTTGTGCCTGTAAGATTAAGGGAAGTACAAATAATATATAACATGTCTTGCAAACAAAATGAACTAAGAAATTTATCTTATTAACAAATGTTGCACTGCAAAATAGTTATAGTCGGATTACTACTTTGCAGTACACAGTGTTCTTGATCTATATTCAATTTATTATGTATAAAATGTTATTTAGCAAGGTGGATACTAACGCAGAGATCGGCAACCTTTTTAAATAAAGAGTTATTAAGAAGATATTAAAAAAATACATAGGTAAATACCTAGGGTAACCAATTTTAACTTTATGATCAATTTTTCTGTACAATAAACAGATAAAATATATGTTGTTATAATATGTACTCATATAATATGTAAAACCAACATGTTTTACCACTTTGTATGTAGTATATAGGGTTTGTAAACTACTCTTTAAAAACCGGTAATCATCAAAAACAACACAAAATTTTTTTTTTAAGTAGCGTGGTAAGGTTTCATAAGAATCAAATTTGAATATCGTGGCTAAATACATTTGAAAAGAAAAAAATCATAGAGTAATACCAATTAAACAAATGATGAAGGGGGAGAAGAGTATCGGTTATTGGAGTGCCATATTAAGAATGTCGTGGACCCTAGACACCTAATAACGGGGGAGTTCAACATACATCTTAAGATTAGAGCAAATTTTTATTTAAATATTAACTTTTTAGTTGAAAAAAAAAACCGTTTTCGATTTAGATAAAACTAAATAAAGAAAAACTGGTTTACAAAACAGGGTTTTAAAAACTCACAATCCCTAGAGGTGTATCGATATACGTATTAATAATGTATATATAAATATCTAGTTTAATGTTAAATTTTATTATTCAGTAACAGATTTTAATTTTTGAAAAGAACAAAGAATTTGAAAATGATATTTTATAATTATAAATATATTTATTAAAATTTAAAGTTAATATTATAAATAAAAATACAAATGATTATTTTGGATGTACAACATTTATTTCAATCTCGCATGTAAATACGATCTCTATTTTATCTCAATAAGCTTCCACCTTGAAGTTCTCTCGAAAAGCAGTAAATTAAAGCTTTCAAGATAGGGAGTAGTAGCATGGAAAGGATAAGTAAATGGAAATTTCAGTGACAGTGTTGTAAAAAAAAGAATAAAAAAGATACCACAAACGTGATACAGTGCAGGAGAGAATTCGTTGCGGAAGAGGAATACCTGAGAATGTATATCCAAGTCTTATCTTGCTGATACCTTATCCTGCATTATGTTCTTATTTTATATAAAGAGGATAGATCGGAAATTGTAGATAACGAAATAGAAGGCGCGTATTTTTCGCCAAATTATTATTTAAATTGATTTGGGTAAAGTATTAGAAGTATATTTCTGATATATTTATAAGTAGACTTTACTATGTTTTCCATATTTGATGGTAATTTCATTCTACGCAACCATTCAGAATTGTTAAGATTTCTTAAGGAACTAATAATTAAAAAATGTATATTTTTTCTAATATGAATTGTTTAATGTTTAAATGTGAGTTGCATGCGAATTGATAATTGCTTTCGTGTAAAATTATTAACTTCGCAAACATTTTTCTTATATAGAAATGTTCATCTAATATTAAATGTGTTTCCATAGGATTTGTTCCTTTTCTCAATTTTGTCAGTCTTAACGATTATCAGCATTTTTCTACATTTTCTATACGTCTTTAAAAGCGTTTGAAAACAGTAATATAATTTGTAAATATTGGTTCATATGATTGATAAAATTTATATTTTTGAATTGGTTTTTACTTTTATAGACAAATAATGCAATATTCTACTGTTACGAATAAGTAAACAGACTGCTGACAAAGGTATTTGTTAGTGATTTGTCGGTGAACCACGATTTTTTTAAATATTAATTTTATTTTTCAATGCACGATAAATTTATATTCAAAAAGTAAAACATCATTATTATCAGCGAGACTCTGAAATTTAACTGTAGGTTTAAGTGAGATAAAATTAAAAGAATAAAAAATACTGGTATATGCTTTCATCGACCTTTTTTGGATTGTTAACTAAAACTTGTCCTATATAATTGTAAATAATTGGTCTAAATAGACACTAGTTTGTCGCATGTATCAGAAAATCGAATATTTGTAAATTTGAAACTACATAAAGCCTGATAAATGTTAAAGACCAATAACCGAATTAAGGTAAACTTATTTTTGATATGTTGCAAAATCGGGTGAAACAATTAACATAATAGAATGTTATGAATAATACATTACACGTTACAGATACAATTCTTTAATATGATTGCATTTTAATTTAATGGACATTAATTAATTAGTAAAATTTTATCAAATCATATAAAATGTCATGCGTCTTAATTTAAATTACTGGTATTAGATTGTAGTGTAGTTATGTTTGAATATTAATTGGCTATGATTGTGTAACATTGACAGTAACTAATTGTAGAAAATGTTAAAAGAGATATTGAAAATAACATTCGATTTGAATATTTTAAACTGTCGACGTTCGCAACAGAATCAATCGATCGTTTTCAACGGAATTACTAATATGATGACGGAAAATATTTGCGCGCAAATCCAGGAGGCTGCGGAATTTTTCATGTGTGTGTATGTGTATGCGAGCGCGAAATGTGCACAATAAAAACGTAGCAAAAAAAAACTTCATGAAATGTTGAAAAGAGTTGCCATGGAAACATCCGCGTTCTGCATCTGCGTCATTGTAATCCGATAGTTAAAAGCTCTGCACACTTTGAAGTTAAAATTTAAAAGCTCGCTATTGTATGCAACTGCGTTTTAATGCGAAACGTAATCGAACGTTAATTATGCATACAAGGCTATTTCTTGTTCTGTTCATGCTCATTCTCTCTAACACACACTCAATATGTCACATATTTTATCATTTTTTCAGTTGCTTTCTCTCTGGGTGTTCCTGTTCTTCATGCACGTCCACATATTAAATAATACCTGTATTCCGGCGTGGGACATCCCTGCGAAATACAAATGAGTGCCGCCCCTTCGTCCTGCGCGACGGTCACGGTCCCTGAATTTTCTATTATCACTGGTGCCACAATGCCTCGGTGCTCTGCATACAAAACGAATAAATATAAACGAGTGAATTCGTCGCATTTAAAGTATAACATATTTATGGACTTGTCGTTTGATGAAGAAACGCTCGGGCAGAACCTTAAGGGACTTTCCAGACGTTTTGTGTCCTCCGCGCACAAACAGCAATGCGTGAGTTTCGAAACAAAGGACCAGACATCCAGATACCAGGCAGCCCCATTAAAAATCTTTTTATTATTAAAAACTTTTCCTTATCTTCGTCCTTGCAGATTTCATTTTTTTTATCTGTCCTTCCCCTGTATCTCTGGAGTGAAAGGAGCGATGTATGGTAATTGAATTGGTTTCTCTAAACTTTTATGTACTTCCATAAATAACGTTGGTTATGGATAAATTTACTCTTTCATAAAGCCATTGTAAACTCGCGGAGAAGAAAAAGAATCACTAAAAGCCCCCCACATTTGTATTCTCTCTGGGGCAACATTTGTTGGAATATTGAACCACGTTCAACAGATTTTACATTTTATGTACATTCGGTCCTCGCTGCTTTTTTTTATTCCTGCGAATACAATCACGCACGTTATCATTCTTGTTATAGAATTATTTATTGCGTTTGCGTATGTAACATTTTTTTTCTCTCTCTATATTAATTGAACCAATTTTTGTTTAACTACGTTACAGGCAATTTGAATTCCTGTTCCATTTCCAATTTAAATATTTTAAAATTTATAAAATTATATCGATTTCATCGTTAAATAATACAATTTTGCTGCTCCATTTTCTAAAAATGAATAATAAAAAAAAGTTTACATGATATCGAATATTGGAAATAACTAAATGTAAATACAATGGATTCTAATTAATTTTAAAATTGAATGCACATTTGAAAGGAGATTTAATTGTCATTTTTTTTTTATATTTATTAGCATAGCATTAATTAAATGATGGATTTCGCAGAACTAGTAATTATTTTAGGTAAAAATTGCCTGTTGTCTATATATACATGTATGCAATTAATTATTTTTGGTATTATGATTTTATTTTACAAAAAATATTATATGAAATAAATATTGCTTGCTTCTTCTACAATTATAAAATTTGTATTATTCAGATAAATAGCCATGTTTTATAGTTTATAAAATAAATAAATGCAATTATAGCTTCTGCACTTTTATTTAAAATAAAAAAGGAAGTATGTATATATTTACTATAAAACCTACAAGTTTTGTTGGATGTACCTAATTATAAAATTAGGTCATATTTGCAACTAATGGGAGCACAATTATTATTTCCATATATATACATCTGTGATGTTGTTGATCAATTTATTTATTTGGAACATTATAATAATATTAATCTACGTTTAATTTGAATAGTATGAGCGTAGTATTCATGAAGTGAATTGCATAATATAATTTAAATTAAATGTAAATTTCGTGTAAACATTCGAAGGATATTATGTATATAATTTGTTGTTTATGTGCGCTCTTTCTGCATTATTTAATTGATTTTAATACAAAAAATACATTTGTTAAAAGAGCAAATATAAATCCTAGACTTTATAATAATATTTTAGTTTACATTTTAATGAAAGCGTTTGACAAAAATATATATTGACAAGTCCTTAAAATTTGTTATACTTATTTTGGACATGCAACAATGAAATATTGTGTTGCGTGTTTTATTTAAAATTTACTTATCAAATAGATACATGAACTATTCGAAAGTGGGCAGCTGCTAAATATGTTCTGGATAGCAACATTGGACTGATTTCATGGTGCATTCACAATATGCGTGTCATATACCAATATATAGGGCTTGTTATAAGCTTTGAAATATTGGCAGACATAGGGACGTGAATATTAAAAAAGAGTTATATGTGCATAGTAGTTGATAGGCCTGATA